TTTTCAAGTCACTCTCGACCACACACGGCAGATGAACAGTTGAGCCAGCCATTGGAGTCATTTCTTTTAGGGGTCGAGCTTTAAACCGCAGACGAGAAAATACCATGAGGTGAAATGTGCCTGCTGCTGATCCAAGAATATTTTCCGCCCTACAGATGTATATTCCTCTGTCTTTTTTTGTCGCGTTATAAATTTTTAGAGCTCCTTTAATGACTTCAGCTCGATTCATCGGCAACTTTCCAAACGCTTTAGACCACGTGATACTAGGCCGAGGCTGACCAGAAGCACCGCAGGCGATACTAACATTTTGTTTTTCCTCAGCTAACACTTCGTTAGATGATAAAATGATCTCAGGAGCGACTGTAAACATTTCAAGAGAAAGAACTATGAGTTGTAAAGACAATGAAAGTGATCTCCTGAATTATCATGGAGGTCAATCAGTTAGCTTTAATCAACAAGATTGAAGAAGAAAGAACAGTATATAGTTAGTTGCAGTTAAAATAAAAATACTTATCCATATGCATAAGCAACGTATGGTTATGAACGTTGTGAGAATTAATCAGATAGCTTGTGCAAAGTCATTAATGCGCAGATTCTTCCTGCATTTAGGAAATCGTTCTCTATTTGCAAAAGAAATAGACTGACTTACATTGAACAGATAACTTCGCCGAGGCGTTCACTTGTCCCAAAAAACTTTCAGCTCTGCATGAATAAACTCCTTCGTCACCACGTATAATGTCCCTCACAATCAGCTGGCCTCTGGATTCCACTTCGTGATGTCCAAAAGGGAGCGTTGAGTTCAGCTTAGACCACGTGATTTTTGGCTTTGGATTACCATCCGCAGTACATTTTAACATGGCTGTCTGACTTTCATTGACTGTCATTCCAACGGGACGCTCTAACAGAGATGGGGCTGAGAGGGACTGGCCCGGCTCACCTTTAGCACCTTTCACACCCGACGGGCCTGTAAGTCCCACGGAGCCAGGGTTCCCCGGTTCTCCAATGTCCCCTTTTATTCCTTTCGGCCCTTGTTTTCCTATTGGTCCATGTTTGCCAGGAGGTCCGTTTGGGCCTGGTTTCCCTGGAGGACCCTGTTTTCCCCGAGTTCCCGCTTTGCCTCGACGACCCCTGTTACCTTTTGGTCCTGGGCGGCAGAGTGTGTGATCCTTAGCAAAGAATTGGTTTTGCAGTAGACTAAGTTCTTTTTTGATAAGCCTTTGTAATTCAGCTGATGTTAGGTTTGAATCCTGTTGTGAAACGTTTAAAGCAGAGCGTTTTTGTCGGCTTGGGTTGGCGTTCTCTCCATCTGAAAATCAAAGACTCGCCAATGAAGTAATGTGACTAACTATACATCAGCACTAAAGACACCAAAATCTTTCACCATCCTACAAACATCATTTTGATCAGGAGAGAAATTCATAGCTGTGGTATGGAACGCGATGAAAGGAAAACTAATTCCTAAATGCGACAAATTTAAGAAAATGAGAAAATTTATAACAAAACAGTATATGTCTTGTATCAATAAGTTCTAAAAAAAAATGATGAACTTGGTTGTACAGCTGTACTGATCTCAAGGTTAATACTCCGCTGGAGACTCTGGTCGGATCTAATCTTTTTTCCTTTCAAGGAAAGGCACGGCCCTACTTACATTTTAAAAGTTTGATGTAAGTCCATTACTTGCTACAGTACAATTGGACAGAATAGATAAGGATGATGGGATTTCGTAGATTTGGTAGATTTCGTTTTGACAAAATCGATTATATAAAAAGAGTTCAGTGATGTTACTTGGTCTCCTAAGGCTAGCTTGTACCAGTGATAGAGTAAAATAGAGATAGCGTGCGTTTTCAACTATGTCAAAGGTCTAAGCATTCTACTAAAGCGTGGTCTATAATCTCCAATTTGCAAACTTAAATTGCACAAGCCTATGATTGATTTTGCACATGAGCTTGTGAGAGTAGGCGTCATCATGTTGATCATGTTGAAGCCTCTTAAACAATTAACTAATTTATGTTTGCAGTATCAACTAACACCAAGTTACCTTTGGTCGCCGGCCGCATTGTGCTCTCAGGTTTCAAACTGTGCCATCCTCTAATATTCTGCTGTACTTTTCGAAGGACTTCTGTCTCCATCTTTGCAAATCCGTTTGCTGAGTTTAAAATCATTTGATGATTTTCTTGTATTCTGAGCTCCTGGTGAATTAGCGCGACACAACAGAAAACCGACAACAAGAGGCCTGACCCGGAACGCAAACGGTTCAATGTTTGTCTTCTGTTCGTCTGCTTCTGCTCTTTTTCTGTTTCTTTCATCTTCACAGTGTTCACAAAACTATTTTGGATATCAGACATAACCAGTGGGATGTTTTTCACTTCACTTGTTAAGCCTCCTTAATGCAGTTCTGGTTGGCTTTAGTGACGTTTAACTGTCGGGAGAGGTGGAATGCGACGGTAATTGATATGTTTCCAATATCTAAGACTTACAGAAACATATTAATAGAAACGTGTAAATAGAAGGCTAATATGTTAATCGCTAGAAGAAAATTCGTGTTTGTGTGAAACATGAAGTTTATTTTAACTTTAGATGAGGTCAACTCAATTGTCTAAGGGCTTTAAACTTCTCTGCTTCACGCGTAATGATCGATAATGACATCAATTTCCTGGTGCTACAATGTGCAGATAGACGGTAATCTCATCGTTTGTAGAAAGGTCATGTTTGGGTAAAACGAGTAGTTCGTTTAAAACATCCTTATCGACGTCAAACCTATCTGTAAAGAACTAGGAAGCCCCTGATTTTAAGTCTTCTCTTCCGTGCCTTAAAGCGACAATGTCATAACTCTATGTCATTTATCACAGAAGGTTCGTGTTTGAGTATAATGGGAAATGTATTTTTATTTTTAAAGAGGTCAAACCTATCCTCTTAGAGCCGGGAAGATTTAAAGTTCCGTGCTCCGCACACAATAAAAAACACTTCCAGATGAGATTCCTCAAAATTTTAAATTTTCGTTTATGTGCATTATTTTCTGTCCTAATCAATATATCGTTTGTTACATTATTAACATTATTCTCCGGGTCGAAGAACAGGCGGTCTAGTGTCTGTCTTCTGTCTTTTTGTTTGTCTGCTGTCCCTGTTTTTTTCATCTTTGCAAACCTCACAAAAATGTTTGGGAATCGAGCAGATCTAGAGGGAGATTATCACTTAACTTGATCGGTTTCCTGCAAAGGGTTCTCTTGGGCTCAGGTAGAGTTAAACTGTTTTAGGAAATTGAGCTCACCGATATTTGTACACTTACAACATTAACACTGAGGAAACAAAGTCGCTTACATTGACTTCCTTTCGTGCTGTAATATTTTTTACGCGTCGAAAGATGATGACGTCTTCAGATTTCGTTATCCAAACCAGGCCCGGTTGTTACAATTGCTCGGCGCTGTCCAAGCAAGATGATCTTCTTCTTCCTCTGATAAACGCTTCAAACCCACCGCTGACCACTTGAATGGCCTTTTCAAACCACGGGAAAACCACTGAAGTCAATGCCTCACATGAGTAGAACTCAGAAATGTTCAAAAACCTACATTGTATTTGACGGTTGTGATCACAAAAACGAAAAAGTGATTCATAAGTGCTTCATATGCCAGTTTGGTCAATTATGATTTTGAGTATTGTCTTATAACATAAGAACTTTCCCTAAATCTAATATAAAAACTTGCCTCAAATTGGAAACGTTGCTTACCGCAGTTCATGACATTTGCCAAATAATCCTAAGGCGCAAACATTTAAATCGACAGAAAAGTTTAATTTAACTTCTTTTATTGTGGTATCACTTACTCTTATTAAAACAAGCTATCAATCTTTGCGTTAATATCCGGTTGTCAGTAAACTGTTTATATCCTTGCGAATGAGTGATCCCGTCATGCTATGGTGTTTGAGAAATGACTACGAAAGTCTTTTAAAGGTGTTGAAATTTAACGTGATTCTAGTGCGTCGATCAGTTCAAAGCTTCAATATCCCCGCTGGGCAAACCTCCGAGCATTTGAAATTTAGAAGATTGGTTCGCTCAAATTCCTGCCCCAGTGGGCGAAAACTGTGTTCAAATGCCCTGTCCAAGCGCCGGATT